GACGTTCAACACATCGGGCCCCCGGGCAATACAAGATTATGGGGCCCCCTTGTGCTCCACCCATATAAAAGTCCCTCCCACACGCCCCACCTGCATAGACGTTCTTGTGTCACAGAAATTTTTTTTTTCTCCATTATTTTTCAAATAGTGGGCCAATTCACTAAGATGAATTGCTGGGGAAATGGTGGGAGAATTTCAAAATCTAGACCAATAAAGGCAATTTGAAAGTGAGCTAAAATGGCAGACCTCAGACCGGTAGCAATACATGTCACACTTCAGACCAGAACCAATACATGGCAGGTTGGGCAGTTAGAAATGAAATTTTTTTTTCTCCATTATTTTTCAAATAGTGGGACAATTCACTAAGATGAATTGCTGGGGAAATGGTGGGAGAATTTCAAAATCTAGACCAATAAAGGCAATTTGAAAGTGAGCTAAAATGGCAGACCTCAGACCGGTAGCAATACATGTCACACTTCAGACCAGAACCAATACATGGCAGGTTGGGCAGTTAGAATGACACGTACACAGCGACATCTCTGGCATCAGCCATCGCAGTCTGATCCCTGTGGCATGTCATCCACATGTGAGTGAATGGGCAGCTCCTTCCATGCCAGCACACATGCTCTCCTTTAGCAGGTGGGTGCAGCTGTGTTAAAGCGGCAACAGTAGTGTCTGTTGGACCCGGGAGGCAGGGGACATTTTAACACAGACTCATCTACTAGTTTGGCTGCGGCTCAGCCGAAAACGGCACACAGCTGCCTTTCCTTTAGTGGCGACTCTAGGAACAATATATGGGGGGGGCACATAAGATACTAGTCAAATCTGGGGGGGGCACTAATAATTTTCATTGCATGTTGCAACCGCTGGGAGCAGAGAGCTGATTTTAATTGCGATGGCATCTGCGGCTGTGACATGTAGTCCAACGCCGACCACAATCCTGAATACCGCAACTGTCGGGCACCAATGCCATCCACAATTAAATCGGCGCCCGGTAGGTGAGGAAAACAGCATGGGCTTACTGGCAAAGGGGCAAGTACAACCCAGAGGCCCATGGTGCAGCAACTTGGCCCCCCCTCCCGCTCTGCCTCTTCCCCCGCCCCTGCCTGCCACTTTTGCTATCCATGTAACGGTAGTGTGAACGGTCGGGGGATGTGAGGCCTACTAGTAAGTCCATGAAAGGGACAACTGGCTGGGGGATGGTGCTCTCCTCCCACTGGGCTCCCTACCTGGTTCTAGCCTTACGCCGCTCCATTTCCAGTACTTAGGCACTCTCACCCACTGTAGACCGCCGCTGGCTGTCCATGCTTCTGGGCAGTGAGCTGTGGGAGGGGCCGGACAGTGTCAAAGTCAATGTTCTATAATTTTTCTCGATCCTATAAATTTTCTCGACTGTCACTTCCAGTGGGGCCGAGTCATCCGAATCAGTTTTCATGCGCACCTGGAATAGACATGGCAGAGAAATGTATCGGTTGAGGAGAACTAAAGCACACTGGTAGTGGAGGGATGTCTCATCAGTGCTGTGCGCGTGTACGACTGCTGCAACCCTGGTAGTTCTGCCACTAACTCCAAGCTGTAGAGGGACTACAAATCTCGGCACAACAATGTAGAATAATACCACCAGCTATAGAGGACTATAAATCTCAGAAATACATTGTACCGCAATGAAGAATACCAACAGCTATAGAGTACTGCAAATCCCAGCAATACATTATACAGCAATGCAAAATACCACCAGCTATATAGGAATACATGATCCATACATTGAGGGGAATTTATCAAAACTGGAGCAGACAAAATCTGGAGCAGCTGTGCATGGAAACCAATCAGCTTTTCTGTCATTTTCAAACCTTAACTGAACCAACTAAAGAGAGAAGCTGATTGGTTGGCAATGGCTCCAGATTTTGTCTGCTCCAGTTTTGATAAATTCCCCCCAGTGTATAATGTATTGTTAGGATTTGTCATCCTCTATAGCTGATGGTACATTGCTGTGTATAATATACAGCACAATGTACCATCAGCTATAGAGGATGACAAATCCCACTATCCCAGCAATACATTAAAGAGCACCATGGGGGAGGGAGAGGTGTGGATGCGGGCGGGTCTGGCAGTGCAAGCTTGAGGCGGGGGAAGGTGCGGTGTGTGGATGCAGGCAGGCAGGTCTGGCAACGGTAAGCGTGAGGCAGGGCGTGTGTGGAGCCGTTAACATGGCCAACTAATCGAAAGCCGATTAATCGATGATTGAGAACGTTGACAACTTTTTCAATCATCAATTAGTTGTTGCAGCCCTACTGGGAACATAAAATAAAACTTTTTTTTTTTTGTATACCCGATTCCTGGATCCACCGACAAGCGCAGCTTCCCGTCTTCCACGCTGTCAGAAGCTACAACAGAGCATGCTGGTTACTACTTAAACCGACGCGCTGTGTGCTGCTTCTGAGAAGATACGCGTAGCGGGAGCTACGCAAAATACGCAGCCGGCTTCCCCACTACGCTAATAGCGTATCTTCTCAGAAGCTGCACGCAGTGCGTGCAGGCAGCGGCGAGGGGACGGTCAGTGACGCGCCCTCGGTCCGTGCCCGAATGGTCAGTCTGCCCCTAGTTTATGGGCACCTTTAGACTCTTAGCCTCTGCTGCAGTGGTCTAAGGATCCTCCAGTCATCATGCACAATACACTAGGGGGGGAGCTTCAGGTCCACCTCTGCTGATTGACAGCAGCAGTGGGCGGGTGCAATAGCCAGCCTGTTATTGCAAATTGAAATAGCTAATAGCATGGGAATGAGTAGCTAGGTTGCTATCTGTTTTTTTTTAATCTGACGACCGCTCTCAAAATAAAAACAAAACAAAACAGCAGGGCTTCTCATTTCACTGTTTAGTCACAGTGTGGGGAAGACACAAGACCTGGTTGCATTACTTAAAGTGTATCTAAACCCAACCACAAAAACATAATACATTGCAGCTTACCGTTCTTTAGATGTGGTGACGGCAGTAGTTTTCCCTTTATTTTTGGTGATCCGCCCAGTGACACACATCCTGTTCTAGAGTGACAATGCTTCCTCATTGCAGGAGGAGAAGGAGGAGTGTTGTCACCCTAGGCTGCTCTCCTGACTTGGACTACAAACACCTTCTACTCTCCATTACATAAGGGGAGGCACTTTGTAGTTCAGATAGCTGAGAAATCTGATAACATTGGTTGACATTAGTGAGCTGCAAACATTCTGTAACTGATTAATTCCAAGAGGTATTGATTATATAATTGGCCACTCATCAATTGCAATGTGGATGCCCAGGTATTAAAGAATGAGCCAGCGGTCCCTCTTCAATAGGACTACCCTATACAAGAAAGCCATCACTCTGTGCAGTGAGCCGTCTCTGCTTCCTAAAGTGGACAGGACAAAGTTAGCTTTGAGGAAAGTGCTCGACCGCTAACCAGTCATCAGTCGTATTTCCTACAAGAGGATACAGATGATGTATGTTGTGCAGACGGACCTCTGCACACAATGATGTGCCCGCATGGAATGGAAGCCGGCCAATTTAAACAGGATGAGGTTTCTGGAAATTCCCAATTGTCTAATGTGGTGCAATAAA